AAATATTGGCTTTCCTATGTATTAGTAGTGTGACCTTAGTTAAACCTCTGAGCTTCAACCTCCTGTTCTATAAAACAGGGTTAGGCATTACAGATGTTTCATGTAAGTTTTTTTTTTTTTTTATGTGAGAATAACAGTACCTTGCCTGGAAGGTATGTTCAGAAAATACATAGCCCAATATTATCATTGTTACTATTAATACTCTAGCCTCACACTAAACATGAATAAATTTTATAAATTATACAATTGGATATTTTCAATTGTGTACTACAGAACATTTCGGAGTAAAAAATTAAACCTTCCTATGGAACCTGCAAGAGTGGCGAGTGGATGGGAGTTTTCCGTTAACAGGTGGTCTCTTGCTACTGAAACTGATACTTGATACTCAGCCAACTCAGATTACAGATCACTATTCTTTATTCCCTTAAAAAAATAAACAGATCTAAAAACTTCTATATGATGTTAACCAAGAGATGTAGAAATAATGGGAGAGAAGTCTGTATGGATAAAGGGTTACATTTTTAAGGGACATTTGTGGTTTTCGGAATACGAGACTATTTATTTTTAAGTGAAGAAATAAAGGCACAAGATTAATGTCTTAATGATACAGCTTGGGAAAAAACTATTTCCCTTAGAAGAATTCATGGGAACCTTTAATATGTTATTTTGTGTCATATTTACTTAAAAACTATTAGTGCTTCAATTGTTACTAAGTTAAATGGCTTCAATTCCATTAATATACTGAAAGTGAAAAGATCTAAATGTTACAAATAACACCTAAAAGCGCTATTTGGTCTCTTAGGTGGCATCAGATTGATTCTAATTTAATCATACGTGAGTGTAGTAAAACTTTTTATTGGACAAATAGCAGGCACAAAGACTTTCTTACATATTAATGTTATTAGTACTATTTAAAATACTTTGTTTAGTGTCCAGACCAGCTGCCTTTTGTATTTTGGTGAACAGCAGTTCCCAGTTGTCACAGAATCATCAGTGTACCAAGAATTACAGCATTATCTGAATAAATGCATAGAACATACACAGGAATAACTTCAAGCTGCAGTTGCATGGAATGCACTGTAATTTATGAACCTTAATTTGCCATGCAAGTTTGTATGACTTGCAGAGGTGAATGTCCCACTTGAGGATGCTTGCAGATCAGTGGATCTAGCCTCCTGGCTGCCATCTTTGGGAGCCAGAACTTCAGGACTAGTGAGAGCAGACATGATGTCATGAAGCGAAGATGTTGGGACCCGGCGTCATTGTCTGATATCAACAAGAGAAGAAGGCACCCTTTGACTGGGCGAATGAATGTCTGTTAGCTAGGGCCGCTCTGAACAGTCTGCATTTTATCAAAGGTTTCTGCTGAAAGGCCAGTAATTTAGGGAAACTCTCATTCCCCATTGCCAGAGAAATCTACTGTATTCACTTCTGACTATCTTGAGAGTCAAACAAAGTTATGCAATAAACGACTGCAGTGTATGTTTAATTATATTTTTCTATACCTCAGCTTCATTTCAATCTTATGTCTCCAGACTGCCAGTTGGAGAAAAACAATCTCAGCTGAATATGAATTAATTTTGGTCAGGAGTTGCTTTATCAACTCAGAGATCGATTGTTGCCCCATCTCTTTTTCCCGGGGTTGGATTTAAGTTTTGGAGTTTGTGGGGTGGGGGGTGCAGCCTGATCCTGTCACCTTCCCCATCGTATCTACACTACATGCACATCTGGGTCAGTGATGGTCCATGCTGATGCCACTGCACCCTCCCATTCTTCCTGCGGAGGCAGTGGTGTGTGTGGCTGTCCCTGCCACACCTGCCTCACTCTTGCCAGCATGGAGAAACATTCTGTAGAAACATTCTTCTGCAGACTAGCACCTGGTATACACTGGTGTGGGGGAACTCTGTGAAGCCTGATGCCTCCCTAGGCTCTACTTAAGATAACGGTCCCTTCTGTGTTCCAAACCTACGTGAGGCTTTTGTTGGACAACTGATACAATATACAGAACCCATTTTCTAGGCCATATGAATATCTTAAACTAATATCTTAGATATTGCTGCCTTTTGAGCTTTCTTCTCAACTGGACAGTATTTATCTTGTAGAATATATATGGAAGAAGGTGGATGAGTCATTGACTGGTTGATTGTTTGGAGACTTAAATCTACTGTTAACACATAAGTTTATGTCCTGGTTAAAGCCTACTTAAAATCCAAGCTTTGAAACTCAAAATCCCCTTTCTCATAAACCAATATTTTTGAGCTTAAAAACCCTTAACTTTTTATCTCAGTAGCCAAGAATGTTCTGTTCTCTTGCTCAGCACTGGTGTTTTTGCTGTGATATCCCCGCCCTGAGTTAATGCGTTCAAAGGTGTAGTCTGAATGGTGAGAAAGCCACAGGTGATAAAACAACAGCAACAATAAAATAGTTTCAGTGGACACAAAAACATACTGATTAATATATCAAAATAGTAACAAACAGTGATTGGTTTCTCTTTCATTGCTTTACAAGATCAAGCCTATTGTCTGAAAAAGTCTCAAAGAAAAATAATATACAGAACATCTGGGTTAAAGATTCTTTCTCCCCTTGGTTTATAAAAACAGTAACATTTTTAAAGAGTCAAATCACATGTGCAATGTTACTGGTAAATAAAATTCCGAACCGTATTCTCTGTAACTTTTTACTTTGATTCTGTGGCTTCACAAAGGGACTTGATTAGTTGAAGCTCATACAGCTTTAGATAGTTATTTTAACAGTTTGAATTTTAGAAAAGTTCTCCCAGATGAAGTTCGTAATTATAAGATTGACTAAATGTGTGGATTGCCATGGTTCTCTGGGATACTTGCCTTAGCTCTGTTTATTACTTCAAAACTAGAGTGACTTCCTTTTATTTTTCACATAAAGTCTGAACAATTTAACATAGCACTTAAGGACAACCACTTGACCATTCCTCTCTAGGCTTTGCTTTCACTCTGTGCCTTCAGGAAGCTGGACCACAGGGCCCATTGGTCTGCTTTCCTCTGAAATACTTCCGAAACTTTTTGGGACTCCGTGAAGTGACACAACCTATTCCCTTTGCTAAGTGGCACTCTCTTCTTCATCTGGTGCTAGGACCTTTCCAGGCTCTCTCATCCTGTTCTTAGAGGGCTAGTTGAAGGCTACGTGGTATTACAGATAATTGCGTAGTAAAAAGAAAAAGGACCATGTCCAGAAGAAGAAATTTGGGGCTTCAGCCGTATTTCAAATGTCATGGCAAAGCCACTGAAATTCTCTGAGCTTCAGGTCAGTCTGTGGACTTCATAACTGCCCTTGCATTGTTTTCAGTCTGAAGTTTACCGGCTCAAGTTTTTTACTCCTTGTGTGCAGAAATCAAGTCTCAGTTTTCAGTAGTGCTTTGTATTCAGTAAATATTTGCTGAATCAAATAGAATGGCAGATGAGAAACAAGAAGTTTATCACTAAGTCCGGTGGCATTATTTTTTTATTGACTAAATAAATGTTAATGTTAATAAACCCTCATTGACAAAGGGTAGGTGAGCAGTTAGCTATGGGCTTCCCTTTTCCCCTTCCTCCATCTCTGCCAACAATTGTGATTTCTTTCCCTAAAACTGCAGAGTAAAAGTTTGAATACTCTTCTTTTGTACTACTAGGGAAAGGTAATATATAGTAATCCGTAGCAAAGAAAAAAGGCTGAAGATTAACTAGTAATTCACATTTCATTTGATAAGCTTCTGAATAAGCTCAGAAAGCCCCACCAGATAAACACCAAGTTCGTCACTTTATTTCAAAGAAGATAAAAAATACCTCCGGTTCCTTGACAACAGTCTAAACCTTTGCGGTGTTTCAATAAGCGGCATTTGGTGTTTTAGCGCACTGCCACAGCTGTATGTGGGTAAACAGATTATCTTTCTTGGAGGGGATAAAAAATAAGCTTACCTCTATCCTTGTTAGCCCACCACATCTGCTATTCACTTATGTGCTCTTTGCTTGTGGATACCTGAAATAGTGAGAAAGAATAAAAAAAGAAAATTAAATATAACTCGACAGCATTTTTGCAAGGCAGACATTTACAATTTTAATTGAGGACAGACACACACTTCATAAAACTATTAGCATGCAACTCCAGCTGCAAAAACTGAACAGCAGTATGCCTAAGCTGGTTAGCAGCAAAAAAGTAAACCAATCACATTGACAAAAGCCACCATAAACAAAAAAACTGTATTTAAAAGATTAACAGTTTTGGCATTCATCCCTACCATCAAGTCTTTCGCTCTCTTTTTCCATCAAAATTTAGCTTACGTTTGATGTTAGCAAGAGTTGCATTACTATTATTGTTAATTTTAGTTCTGTTTATTGCCTTGAGGGTTATATATTGTAAAATAATTTTGGTGCCTCTAGTTAATGTTAATTAGTTGTTTTAATAACCTATAGACCTATTTGTTATGTTTTTGTAGGTTTACTTTTTTAACTATCAGGAACTTAATAACTGAGAATATTTAACATTACTGTTGCATAGGCAAAATTACAGAGTCACTATTAGTGTTACCTGTTTAACGTTTAGTCATCCTTTGAGTCCTGCGACATATTTCCTTAATAATCATCAGCCATCAAGTCTGATAGTCTCAAAAGAAATATCAGCGCTCTAAACTGCCTTCAAGGGCGGTGATATTTAGCACTGAAAATTACAAATAAAGTTTTTGAGGTTGAAGAGCAACAACTGGCCAGTGACACTGATGATTTGTTTGTCAAAACAAATTGTTATAAACTACGCAAATGAAGTCCACGCACTCCTTTGAGTGAAAACAATAAAGTGAATCTACGCAATGCTTACATGTTGGATGGGATATTTAATGTGCGGGGAAACTCAAAGGTTGAAGAACTAGGCATTTAGACAGTGGTAAGTGGTAATCTTACCTCTTTATACTCCATTACTCTTTCTCACGAGAGACATGCTAATGCAAACAAGTCAATCAGAATTTGTGTTTAGCAAGATAAAGCTTAGAGGATAGTTTAAAATCCATTTATTATTCTAAATCCATTTTTTTCCATTAACATGTTATACATTAGTGTTTACTAACCATGATTCATGTAACAGTTTAGTTTGTTAACTTTTAAATTATTTAACAACCATAAGTTATTAATACATTTTTTAAGTATTACACAAATATCTTAAAACAAGCTTGGGTTCATTTTTGTAATTTTTAAATAGAAAACATTTTAGGCATCTCTTGAAGAAGAAATAAAGCAGGCATTTAAAGCTAGAAAACAAGTAATTCCAAATTTAGTTTTTACAAAAGTTTTCAGCTTTATTGACAAATTATGGCAAACATATTTGACAAATTGTGGTTTCCTATTTAGAGTAGCTTACACATGGAACTTTATGTGTGTTTTTTTTTCTTTTTTAACAAATACAGGTTAAAACACTGAACAAATTCAGTTAGCTACATACATACAGTAGCTGCTTGTTTTCAACTCCATTAAAACAGCATTTAAAATTAAATTTACAAACTTAATATCGAACATCTTCATCTAACTAACAGATATTAAAAGACAGGTTAAAACATCTTATCTACAACTTTATTATCAGCTAGTTCAAAAATCATATTACAGTCTTTTAGCAACCCTAAACAAAGTTTCTGCTAGATGATTGAGACTCAAAATCTGTTAACAGATTCATGCTCTTTCTTTAAAAAAAAAAAAGAAAAGAAAAGAAAAAGAAAAAAGAAAAAAGTAAAAAAAAAGTTTACACACAACAATGAAAAACAACCAAGAGAATATCATCCTACTGAATGGTTTATAGACAATGCTTGCCAATGTCTTTTTTAGTCCATTTTGTAAAATAATACTAGTGTCAATGTCACACCAACAGTATAGGGGGAAATACAAGAAATATATGGGAGAAATCATGAGCAGTTATCCCTAGAATAGAAAAAAAAAGGACTATTACTTGTCTTGTTGCTGTTTATGTGGAGACCACAGGCTATGAATTGTCTTTGAGGTGAGGTCACGGGTGAGAAGGACCTTCAATATCTACCATAGGGGTGCTCCCTGTATCCCCCTCTGGCTGACCTTGGTGGTGGTGCCTTCAGGCTGGAGCGGGTTGTGGCCCATTCTTCTGGTGCTATGAACAAGAGAAAGACAGTAACATTCACGTGGCTTCACAGTTACCAGAAACAGTCATTTAAGACGTTTAAGAGTTGACCAAGGAAAATAGAATAAAAGATCTCAACACTGAGGGCTAAAGCCTTACTACCTTTTCCACATGGTGAGATCATCAAAAAAGTATATATTTTGAAATGCAGCCACGTGGAATTAAACTTGTGGGGCATTCTTCAAAGAAGAGAAAGTTGAAGTCCCTGGATAAGTCTACATTTATTATGTGTAAAATTTTTGTGCTACAGAAGAGAAAGAGGGTATCAGTGTAAACCGCTCCTCATTTTATCCTTTATACAGAGTTCTAAAATAATCCAGTGGTTCCTAGTCTTTGAGTAACTTGAGAATCGCCTGGAAATCTTAAAATAATACAAAACAAAACCAAAAATGACTAATGCCTGTTCTCTCTCTCCCAAACCAAATGATTAGAAAAGAGACCTAGGGCTTGCTATTTTCCAGTGCTCCCCTCGATGGTTTGTAAGTGGGACAGGGTGAGGTCCTTGTGCTAAATTATCTTAGACAAAGTTAGTAAGAGATATACAGGATATGGAACAGAGTAAATTTACGCAGTAAAATCAACAAAAGAGTATGCTCACATCAGTTTTTACAAATACCTTGAAAATAAAGGGGTATTTGTACATTAAAAAAACTCATTCACCTGTTAATCAGATTTCCAGTAACCTGAATGTTCTAAAACCTAGCCAAAAACAAAACAACAACAAAAAACAAACCAAACCAAACAAACAAAAAAACATACACAAGAAACAAGCCAACAAGCTTTTGAGTGTTGTGAAAAATAGCCTTTATTAAGTTTATGACCCCAGAAAAGGAATGTAGTCCTCCTTGAAAGGGCCAGGGACTTAATATGCGGTTTATGGTGGTTTCTTATGTAATTCCTGAAGCTAAGTTATTTGGGTCTTCCAATCCAAATTCAGTTTTCATTTGAGAGCAGATTTCATTCATGGAACTATGATGAGAGGAAGTACGGACATAGAAAAAGAGATTGATAGAAAGAAATGCACTGACACTGATAGCCGATATAAAGGATAGTGATAGTAATGGACATAAAACTGGAAAGAAACTGCAGACTGAGGTCAATTGATGTAGATAGGGCATGTGTCCCTGAAGAGTTCAAGTGCCCCTAAGAATATTTTGTACACAGTTCAGGGAGATTAAGGAAAAACAATAATTAAAATTTATGCTGCACTCACTATGCTATACATAAGGCAGAGGATAGTGATGTGCAATATAGAAAAATAATAAAAGTCCATCAAATAGGAAAAAATTGCATTAAAATGTTTTTTGGGGGATATTCTTCATCAGAACTTCTTTATTATTATTATCTGATAATAAGTGAAAAATTTCTCTCTGCTATTTAAGCTACATGCTTAAGTTTATTTCAGTATTTGATAGGACATAAAATAGAAATGAAAACTTAAGTAAAAATAGGAAATACTGCCTTTTCTCAGAATACTGATCGACTTAGATCAGGGGCTGGCAAACTATGGCCAGTGAGCCACACTAGCAAGCTGTCTGTTTTTTAAAATAAAGTTTTAGGAAATGCAGGCATGCTTATTTATCTGCATATTGTCTATGGCTATTTTCACTCAACTAAGGCAGAGTTGAGTAACTGTGACAGAGACCATACTGTCTGCAAAGCCTACAATATATAGTCTGGGCTTTTACAGAAAAGATTTACAGACCCCTGCTCTAGATCTTGCTGTCTTTTTGGCTGGAGATTGTGGATGCTGGTCTTTCTGATGTGATCTCTTAAGGATGGGAATTTACCCCTAAGCTGTTAGACTTTCTTAGCAGACAGATCGTGGAAAGAATTCTTTGTATTTACTTGATTGGAATTAAATAAAACTTTCTAAAAAAAATGTACTGGAAGGGAAAATGGATTCTGCTTGCAAAACTAGCAAATGCCTTCTCCGCCTTATATAATACGAATTTTACACTTTGACTATGAATGATCAAGAATATGCCAATGTCCTTGTCTTCTGGTGGTAAAATCTACCCCTTTTTATTCATGTTTTTAACAAAAGGAATGTAATACTTTTTGCTTTATTCTGTTCTAGATTATTAGAGATACCCGGTTGTAGTCTATGGGATTTAGAAACTGGGATAATAGAAGTTTCAAGTTTTCCCAGGGAATGGAAGTCTTGGATCCTTTCTCAGAAGCATAATGTTCTTGGTGGTTTCTGTAAAACAGTGCAACAACATGAACAGAATGACAGCAGGAGCTGCCACAGCTACCCCAGTTTCATCAGAATTTTTAAACTGGGGGAGTACCTGAGTGGCTCAGTTGGTTAAGTGGGTGCCTTTGGCTCATGTCATGATTGTGGGGTCCTGAGTCGGGCCCCATGTCAGGCTCCCTCCTCAGTGGGGAGTCTGGTTCTCCCTCTCCCTCTGTGTGCTCTTTCTTTCTCAAATAAATAAATAAATCTTTTTTTTTTTTTTTAACTGTAGTGTTGAAAGACAGAAGATACAGGGAAGGTGGCAAATTCACCTGTATCACCATCCCTTTCTTTTCTTTTTTTTTTTTTTTAATAAACATATATTTTTTCCCCAGGGGTACAGGTCTGTGAATCGCCAGGTTTACACACTTTACAGCACTCACCAAAATAAATAAATCTTAAATCAACCAATCAGTCAATCTTAGAAAGGGGGGACAAGACACTTAAAAAAAAAAAAGAATTTTTAAAATGGCATAATCTTGGGGACTTGCCCCAGAACACATTGTTTGATAAGAACCCACTGATTTAGCTTTACTACGCTTTATCTAAAGCTCTAGGGCAGCTAATTTATGGGCTAAAACCTCTCATTTCCTAACTTTTGGCTAGCATTAAAATGGTGACGGTCACTATTTTCTGCTGTATTTTCAGTGCCTGGAAAAAATGCAGTGCCTAGAAAAGGTTGAACACAAAGTATGCATGAATGAAGGATGAAGGAAGGAAGGAAAGATGGACAGAAGGAATTGTGAGACAGAAAGAGCTTTCAATGACAACCTTAAAAACAGTAATATTTGAGCTGAAGACATTTGACATTAATTTTAGAAGCTTTATAACTAGAAATATTATATATTGTAAAGTCAGACTTCTTACTCAAGAGGTTAGTTAGCTAAATAACAAAAGTATTTCTCAACTGGATTTCATAAAACAATCATAGTGGAATCCAATTACAAAAAAGTGCAAAAGCAAATCTCATTGCACAAAAATGTGCTATTATAATTCTCTGTATGTAAATTCATACTGTGTTCTTTCTTCCTTGCTGAAGGCTAGAAATGAGAAATACTGTTTGTCTATAACTGTAACCAGAAAGGCAGCCAAAATGTATTCCTACCCAGGTGAAAATTGTAGATTTTTCTAAGATTCCTTACCATTAACAGAAGAAACAAGAATTTATTTCACTTAATTCATATTCTCAATAATAATAGCAAATTGAGATCAGGAGAGGTATTAATTTCTTTTTGTGCCAAATTTCCTTGGTCTATATTTTTTCTAGTATCTGAATGTTTATAAATAGTCACATGTTTACAATTACCACATGATAATACAAGCCAGTTTCTTTCAGTGAAGTTATTTTCTTTGGATCTAGACTGGAGAGTACTGACTCAAGGGAAGTTTTTCCTTCATCATCTTCTAGTGTCATTGAGCCTTACTTATATGGTCAGCCAGTCCCCTCAGTGCCTGTCATAGGATTTCTCCACCATGGTATTAGAGATAGAAGTGATTCTTAGAAATCCAAAGAAGTCCTAATGTAAGTCCATCATAGAACCTAGCACATGGGAACAGCTTAAGCATAGAAGAGACAAGTCATTATCAGGTCCTTATGATGGGAATCCCTAAAATTTGAAGTATAAAGCCCCCAGAATAGACTAGGAAATTGCCTGTCTTCTTTGAGCTCTACTATTCAGCAGATAAGATGAATTTAAAATATTTTAGGGAGAGGCACCTCAGTCAGTTAAGCAACTGACTCTCAATTTTGGCTCAGGTCATGGTCTCTACATTGTGAGATCGAGCCCTGCACTGTGCTCCACACTGGGTGTGGAGCCTGCTTGATTCTCTTTTTCCCTCTCCTTTTGTACCCCCGCCTTACTCTCTCTCTCTAAAAAGATAAAATAAATAAAATAAAATTAGATAACATAAAATAGAATAATATATTTTAGGGATTCGTACAAATTTTGGAGTCCCTGACAGTGGTTTCTATTCCCATGGTATGGTACAGGATGTCATTTTAAAAATCATTACAGACAATGAAATTTAGAAGTAATCTTTCTTCATCTTCTTGAAAAATAATAAAGGATGTAAGATGCTTTCAGTATTAGGACCATTGTCATATGAGAAGCACCAGCCAGACTATGGATGTGAAATAGCAAATTAGATAACAAATTATCCCACAGAGAATGTGCAAAATAATTGCCAAGTTGAAATTACTGGAATGGTTTAAAAAATTGGGGATCCGGAAATAGAAAATGATATGAGAAATAGCTTCAGTGACTTGATCAAATTCCCACCATTTCTAGGTTTCCCAATTCAGATTTTAATGTACCATTTGGTATATAAAACAAGGAGGGAAGAAGGAAAATAAAGCATTCATTAAATATTTTTTTTTCCTTTACTAAAGATCTCCTATATGCTAGTTATTGTACTAAGCCCTGAGTATGAGGATACTAAGGGATTTTTAGAGATCACAGGACAAAACTACTATGAAATTGCATAGATTAAACACATTTATAATTGATATTTGAAGAAAATGCTGGGGAAAGCCTAGAGGAGGGAAGTACTAATTTCTATCATTCAACAGAACTTGGATTGAGCTCTAATATCTAATCATCTCAAGGAAGTAATTTTCTGAGCAAATATTACAGTGTAACTAAAAATTCAGGTACTGTTTAACCTATTTAAGAGAACTCACTTTCTTTAAAGACTTTCTTATGTTAATTATTTATGTTATGTTAATTATTTT